GACCGGCAGCCATCCTTGGATCCGCGTCTCCCCGGGGCCACCCCGCTCCCCGCCCCGCCGCGCCGTGTCGGATTGCGGACCCTTGGGCGGGCGACGGTGCTGCGGCGGCGGGGGCTGGGGTTGGGGACCGTCGGGGCGGGGTCCGCGGCGGGTTCTGGTCTGGACCGTGGTCCAGCGACGCGGGTCTGAGCCGCCTTTGATGGACCTTTTTCGAGCCTTTGGTTGCGAATGCATCGTTTTGGTATGCATGCTCTCTGTATATCTGACTCTTCCTTGTCCTCGCCGTCGTCGTCGTTCTCTTGAATGCTACTCTAGATTGCATTATCTCCGTGACGGATGTAGTAGTATGTATGTTCGCACATTCCCTGAACCCAAACCCTAGATCGAATCGGGGGCAGTGCGCGGTCCATTCTCCGGAGCGGCCGTCGCTTCAGGTGCCCATCCTACGGTGCCGCCTCGCCGCTGTTACATTGCTTGGCATCGGTGGCGGCAGGGGCTGGGAACCGTGCGGAGCCGCCTACGCGGCTTCCGAGTCGGGTTTGGTCTGCTGCGCTGCGCTGCGCTCCCTCTCCCTCCCCCCATCTCCCTCAATCTCTCTCCCTCCCTCCCGGCGCGCCGGTGTGCGGTGGCGCGGGTGCGCCGGGGTGCAGGAGCGCGGACGCCGGGGTGGGGTCGGTGGCGAGGAAGAAAGGGTCTATTGCAGCTTGGATAGCTCGGCTGCTGGTGCTGTAAAGAGCACACACACTGCTGGCTGATGGTGCTCCCGTTAAAATTTCGGACAAGACAACCTGAGGGGACTGTTCTTGGTTGCTGGGCGGCGAGAAGCGGTGGTGTCTGCTGCAGCAGAGCTGCCCCTAAATAGTTGGTGATTTGAGGAGTGGTATTGGGTTGGGTAGTATTAGGGGGCCCAGAGGGCTGGATATAACAAAGGATATGGGACATAATGCAGGATCACTGGTATCCGTCTGTATCCGATCCGGTTTCATCCCTACTTGGGAGGCACACACCTCGCTCAGTCGCTCGCATCGCTAGCAAGGGAGAGAAAACAGTGGCGGGCATCGCTCAGCTGCTGGTGCTGTAAAGAGCACACACACTGATCATCTGCTGGTGCTGTAAAGAGATGCGCCAGCCCACCAGGGCTCTCTCTCTCTCCCTCCCTCCCTCCCTCCCTCCCTCCCTCCCTCTCTCTCTCTCGCGCGCGCGTGGTGACGACTGGGAGGCCACGCCACCATATGTCAGGAGCCCAGGTCTTGGTCTTAACCGGGCACTTTGCCGGCGACGAGCACCCACCAAGTGTGCCCACCCCTCTTCCCTTGCAGGGGCGCGTCCAGAAAAGGACATGGGTGTGCACATGTTCACCTGATAATCTTGCAGGGGCGCGGTCCCATTTACATGTATACACTTGTAATTAAACCAGATCCGAATACAAATAGCCGAATAGCTTAAATTCCCTGTATCCTGTTTTCTGACTTGGGTGAAAGTATCCAGTGACTGGTGCAAGTGAAATTTACTTAGAGTGGCCATGTTGGACATGGAAATGGGACCGAATATGTGAAATGGAGTGCTGACGAAAGGCGATGATGCTCAACTTTTCGGAATTGCATGCCATTGAGCAATCAAGGCAGCTGCAAGTATCTAATTAGAGCTGATCCTCTCCTGTCTGGAAGCCTATTTAGTCATCCCTTTTTGTTTGTGGTTCTGCCTAGGATGGTCATTCGGATATGTGACAACCAGCACAGTTCCACTCACATTAGGATGAGTAAATTGGGCAGCAAGAGAAGGAAGGGCTTGGTTACTATGATTGAGCAAAGGTGATGCTGAGCCCTTTTAGTATGGTTTATGCTGCGATGCTTTATGACTCTGTTTTTGTTTCATACTACTATTGAGTTTCTATGATGGTTCAACTTTCCATTAGAGAGCTTCTGCACTCCATCTTCTGAGCTGGTACCTGGGATATTTTATTCTGTTTGCTGCTTAACTAGCATGGCTCATGCCTTACTAGTTAGTAGTTACTACCTCCATCCAAAGAAGAATGTGATTCTATCTTTGTTTGCTGCTTACATCTTAACAGGATGCCTTGTACCTTAGAGCGTCTCTAGCAGTCACCAAAAAAAAAAAAATCCTAAAAGTCTTGTTTTGCAACCTTTCCATTAAAATCACCGCCCCAAGATAAGGAGTAGTGGTCGTCCGTGTATCTTTGCGTGTTTTTCCAAGCGTGGATAGATTGGGCGTTGTTGCAGCAAGTTTTTTTTTGTGCTCTTGTGTGTTTTTTCCAAGCGTGTATTTTGTACTCTTGTGTGCTTTTATCTGCTTGTTCTTTTGTGTTCTTTTTCATGTCCTGTTCATGCTCTACCGTGATGAAGGCTATTCTTCTTCACTTGCCTTCCTGCTGGATTTGATCCTGGGACCTCAGTCAATGTTTGTGGGACTAATATGTAAATGCCCATCAAGAAAGGAAGCCATAAAATTCCAATGGGGCAATGATCAACGACCATGGCTGACATAAGCGCCTTTGAGCAACCAAGGCTGCTATGGACACCAAACTGGAATCCTCCCTTTCCTCTCTTAGAAACCTTTTCAATTATGTTCTATGATAGTGGCTTTGTGCTTGGATGGTCATGCCATTCCATGTGTATTGTATGATAACCAGGACAGCTCCACTTATCGTATCAGGACAAGTTGATCTGGTGATAAGAGATGATGGGGATACAGTTAAATGATTGAGCAAAGGCGAAGCTGAGCCCCCCCCCCCTCAGAAAAGGGAAGAAAACATGATTTTATGTGTCTCTTTTTTTTTTTGCATGCTTGCAAGCGGTAGAGTCTTACCGCCTGTGACCAGAAGGTCCCGGGTTCGAGTCGCGGTCTCCTCGCATTGCACAAGCGAGGGTAAGGCTTGCCACTGCCACCCTTCCCCCGACCCCGCACAGAGCGGGAGCTCTCTGCACTGGGTACGCATGCTATTGCCGCATGCCACATCGTTCCAGCTGCCCGCATGCTGCATGCTGCATGCATGCACTGCACAGGAACGCCTGTATGGCCGCATGCAGCTGGAAACAAGGAAGGCATTGCATTAACTCCCGCACATGAATGCAGGGCGTGAGCGACAACATTTGGCTTGGTCACCTGTAAATCCCGAAAGCTTTTCTAGAACTAGTGCGCCTCTAAATCCAGAATGGAGGGAGTAAGTTCCTGCCTAAGTGCTCATCAAGAATGAGGCCATAAAAATTCCAATGTAGGGCAATGATCAACGACCATGGCTGACATAAGGGCCTTTGAGCAATCAAGGCTGCTATGGGTACCAGACGGGAATCCTCCCTCTCCTCTCCTGGGAACCTTTTCAGTTATGTTCTAATGATAGTGGCTTTGTCTGTGGATGGTCACGCCATTCCATGTGTGATAACCAGGGCAGCTTCACTTATCGTATCAGGACAAGTTGATCCGGTGATAAGAGATGATGGGGTCGGTTAAATGATTGTGCAAAGGCAGCATTGATCCATTTTGGTAGTTCGTACGCATTCCTTTGTTTTTCAGATATTTTGTTGTTGCTTGTCTGTTGATCTTCCTTTCTTGTTTGGAACTGTTCTTCAGCGGCTGTGATGTCAAATGCCCCAGCCCCATAGAGCTATTACTTTTTAGCATCCTGAATTGTTACCTTTGGTATGTTGCTCAATATGCTGCTTAACTTGGATGGCTTGTACCATATACAAGCAACCAGTTTGCAATTAATTGTTGTCATTGCTGTGGCGGTGGTGTAGTATATATATCCATATGAACAACCCTACTCAAAAGTTCATTGAGAGAGGGATGGAGGGAGTACTTGTTTGTTCTGCGAGTATTGTGTTGATACTGGGGCAAATCTGAGCCATTCAATGTGACATTACTCTTTATGTTCCGTCATATGCTTCCGTTTATGATTCTATTTTCCTTCATGTATCCTACCTTTTTTAGTGATTTCAACTTGGGACCAGGATCATGATACTGATGGGACGAATATGTCAACTTTGATTTGATGTCATATAAGATTCCTTACTTGGGTAGATTTGATGCATAGATCCTTTGGGACGCAGGAACCTGACATGAATTGTACAAGAATTTTGCAGGAATCAGTTCTTTTTCACAGGAGAAACATAGGATTTTCAGAAGAAAAAAAATCCCTCATTCCAAAGGGGGCCTGAAATTCCTGTAAGATTCTTCTGAAATTCCTACGTTTCAAAGAGGTCCTATTTCAGTCTGATAATGCAAGCAAGCAAGCTAGGATTGCTTCTCAATATAATATGGAAAGGAAAATCAATCTTCATCTGGATTGGTCTCTGACTTCCAACTGTGTCCCTCTTGGACCTGTGCTTCCTGGTGCCATCCTTCCTGTTCCATGTTGGCTTTTATGAAGCAAGCAGCTGGAGATGCTTGCAGCAGCAGAGGATTGGGAACCATGGAGTGGGTTTGCTGTGGCTTCTGGTTGGGGTTTGATTAGGCAACGTGGGATCTACCTTGTGATTGGTGGATTTTTTATTGTTTGATTGTAATTTTATATCCTCCTTTAACTGCCTCCCTCCCTCCCTTGTGTGTATGCATGCATGTGAGAATTTTCACATGCATGCATGCCCTTGAGGATTTGAGGATGCCATGTGTAAATGGGGTTGGATCTACAGCCCTGTTTGGCAAAGCTCTAGTTCTATGAATAATTTTTTGGAGCCGGTCATCTAGCTCCAGGATTACATTTACTATGTGTCTAGACATAGTGTATATCTAAGTGCTAGCAAAAGCTGTGTATCTAGAAAAGCCAAAACGTCTTACAATTTGGAATGGTGGGAGTATACTACTATAGCTCTTCTTCAGCATAAGACATCAATCTCAGCTGATACCTTAGGAATTGGTTATAATCTGGTGCTGATGGTGGTGATGACAACAGTTCTGTTGGCACTGGTCCATCCACCTAGCCAGCAGCCACCTGGGACCTCCACTTCTCTATGGCCTCTTTTTCTTTGTCGTGACACATTGCCATGGAGACTCTTGATCAGCCGCCAGTAGGTCAGTGGCAGCATCAAGGGGTGGGAACTGAGTTGGGGGTTCATCTGGGCTATGGTTGGTGGATTGGGCTGCCAGTGTGATGGCCTGGAGAACATATGGGGAAATTTTTGGTGTGAGTTTTGGGGGTGTTTGTAAGGGTTCATTCCGCTTTTTCTTCTTAATATAATGATACGCAGCTCTCCTGCATGTTCGAGAAAAAAAAAAACATGGGGAAATCTCTGTTCCAAACAGGCCCTAAACTACATCCTCTTGTCTCCTCTCCCACCATTCTTTTTGCACACATGTAGTACATGTCTCACTTTTTTCTGGTATTTACATATACTAAAAGACTGCTTTATATCAGATGCCTTCTGACTTTCTTTTTTGTTTGTACTACTCTCGAGTGGCTATGATGATTGAACTTTGCGTTAGAGAGCTTCTGCACTGTAGCATTTTTGGAGCTGATCCCTGGGATATTCTATTCTGCTTGCTGCTTAACTAGGATGGCTTGTACCTTGCTACCTCTGTCCTAAAAAAATGCAATTGTCTATGCACCTGGAGAAGCATCCTTTTTGGGCAGTTGTAGCAACAAGTAACCAGTTATGTGGCCAAGAAGAGAGAGAGAGAGAGCAAGGGAGATTACATTGTGCTTCCACTACAATTTGCAGTTGCTATCCTGATAATGTTTAAATCTGAAATCTGAGCCACTGAAGTGACCTTTTTGTCCTAGTACTCCGCCCCCTCCCAAAAGAAAATTCCCATGGCGGTTTATGATGGTTTTGCCGCTGTTGCAGCTAATCTGCTTTTTGATTTGCTTAAAAGTTTTATTCTGCTTTGTACTCTTGTTCTCTTATCTGCTTGTTCTTTTTTGCTATTTTCCATGTCCTGTTGATTCTTTACCATGATCTAGGGCTGTTTTTCACTTACCTTGCTGCTTGATTTGTGAGACCTTGGTTAATGTTAGTAGGACTAATATGCCAAGTCAATTCCATATCATAAGTTTCTACCTGAGTGCCCCTCAATTACGAATAAGTAAAATTCCAATGTGGGGCAATGATCAATAACCAAGGCTGACATACGCGCCTTTGAGCAATCAAGGCTGCTATGGGTACCAAACTGGAGTCCTTGCTTTCCTCTCTTGGAAACCTTTTCAATTATGTTCTAATGATAATGGCTTTGTCCTTGGAAACCAGGGCAGCTCCACTTATCAGAACAAGTTGATCTGGTGATAAGAGATGATGGGGATACGGTAAGATGAATGAGCAAAGGCGAAGCTGAGCCTCCCCCTTACCCACCCACCCATACACACACCCCAAAAGAAAATAAAAAGAAGATAACACTGACTTTAAAAGTGTGTCCTTGCTGATCCAATGAAATTTTGAGTTTTTTGTTTTCTGTTGTGGTCCCGGTACTGGAATGTTGGTATCTTTTGTCAATTATTGTGACCGTTGCCTCAGAGAGTTCTGGGTTTCCCTTATGTTGCCATTGTTGCAATACATGGCATTTTGGTGTTGCGATATTTTCCGTAGTTTGATTTGGGGCAAGGAAGTCGCCATCAAAGTCATTCCGAAGGCAAAGGTGCGACCATATCCTCCTTCCCATTCCCTATGGAGACGATTTGTTCTGTTCTGTTGCTCACTTGTGTTCACATTTTCTTTCACTGTGGTGATTTGAATCGTAAGTAATCACAAACAGCTTAGATCAAGAGGGGTGGGTGGGTATCTTGTTTGATCTGGATGGGGATAGGTTTTCTTGTACTTCTGAGATTTATGCTACTTTCTTATAGATGAAATTAAGGCTACATTGATCCAAAAAACTGAAACAACCAATTTCTGGCCAAGCTAGCTAACTGCATTGATTACATGATTGACTGAGCTGATGCTTGTTGTCAGTTTTGCCGATGCAATTGACATTTTAATGATTTGCTCTGTAGTTACTATTGACATTGATATGTAGCATTGACGGCCTATTTAAGTTTTGAGGTGGATTGAGCTGTTGCTCATTGCTGTGGCCAAGATAAAGCAGACTTTCTCTGTGGAGTCCGAATTGTTTGAGCCTGACGGTAGTGGCCACTGTTGAAAGAGTTTAGGCATGGAATTGTTGACTGATCAAATTTTCCTTTTGGCCTTTTGGGCAATATTTGTTCCAGGGACTGTCTGTCAGTTAGTAATCAATGTATTTGGTTTGATATTTCTAGAGACTAGGTCGTATCGAGGCAGTTCTCAGTGCTATGTTACTGGAGAGTGATTTCAGTTTTTGTATGCTGAAGGCACTGCTATGTAGTGTAGGGATAGTCTGTGATCATGTTAGAACTGTCGAAAATGGAAGTTTTTCTCATTTGCACAATGACTCACGACCATATTACAACAGGCTTGGGATGGCTGAGATGGCAAGGACACACTTCACACGTGCTGGAAATGTAGACCAGTCTGATCCTGCTGAGTGACAGAAGCTGCATGAGGTGGAAATCTATCAAGGGAGATGCATGGAAAATATGTTGCCTTTTCCTAGTAATTGAGTCATTCACAAGGGAACCATACTTCAAGTGCAGCTTCTTGCCTTGAGGTTGGAAGACTGCTTCGGTTGCACAAATTAGAGGAAGTTGATCCGACTATTACAAGCTTATTGAAATTGGATAGTGCATCATTGCCTTCGATGCCACCCAAAGTCTCAGGCATGTCAGCGGATTCTTATGTCCATATTGTCCAAGCCCAGGTCGACATGGCATTTGAAAGGTATACAAATACCAAGCCTTGAGATTCGTGATCGCTTGCCTTCTTTCCTTGGTTGTAAACATCTAGTGACACAATGATTGAAACCTGTTTTTGTAGATTTGATTCAGCTGTTGCGCTGGCTGAGAAGACTTGGCTTATTGATCGTGTTAACTCAGAGGTTGAAGTGATCCTAAATAACGTGAGATTAGTTGCAATGGCTTGTGCCCAGGGGAAGGACCTTTCTAAGGCAGGCAAGTTTGCTGAAGCATCAGTAGCCTATGGTGAAGGGCTGAAATATGAGCCCTCAAATCCAGAACTATACTTATTAATTGTTGGGTATTGAAAATACAGTCGCAATGCCTATGTCATATGTGACAAGCTTTATTATCTGCTAGAACTTGTGGATGGAGATTAATTTTTATGCATGTATTATCTTGTTTGGGACTTTGGGTATTATTAGATGGTACCTGAATCTAACTTTTGAATGAATTAAACTTATTTCAAATAATTTATTATTCTATAATGTTGATGCAGGTCTTCTCACCTTGCTTTGTTATATTACTGCATCTTATGAATTTTTTAAATTTTACAATTTTTTCTCAAGCGTGTTATCATTGAACAAAAGCAGCAGGCACAAGGCATGGCTTGGCCGATGCATAGCAGACAGCCGGAGAGCCATAGGGACTGCGACTGCCTGATCCATGTACTGCAGTGCATGCTTATCTCAGCCCGTGGCAACTTTGTGCTCACTATAGATGTCCAATAGGGCTGCCTAGGAACGGCATGGTGAGGCACGGCACTATCAGGCACCACGGCGCTGTGCCATGCCGTGTCTTGTCACCGTGCCCAGGGGCACGGCACTATGGCGCTTGAACTGTGCCGCTGGGCACGGCGGCCCATAGCGTCTCGTGCTACCCGCGCCAAGACGCTGTGCGCCGTTGTTGCACGACGTCGTCGCGCCGCTCAGCTTCGATCTGGGGAGGAGAGGAGCCGATGTTGTGTCGCGCCATCGCCGTTGGAGCCGCTGCAATGTGCTGCGCCGTCGCTGTTGAAGGAGGCCATGAGGAGCTGCCGCGGGAGAGAGTGGAGGAACTGGGAACGATGGCCTAGGAGCGGGGGGAACTGCGGCCTGGGAGCGAGTCACGTGGAGCGGCCGCGGGAGGGAGTCGTGAGCAGCGGCAATGTGAAGACGGAAAACTCAAAGGTGTGAGAGATATAACTAGGGTTTGTAATCCAACACGACCGTGGTTGATCTAAAAACAATCTAACGTTTGGAAATAATCGGGATGCATCGTGCCAGCCCAAAAACCTTGTCGTGCCCGAGCCGGCACTACTAGCTGACGAGGTGGCCTAGGCACGAACACGACGCTAGCTCGAGCCAGCCACGGTCACGAGGCCTGCCTGTGCCGCACTGGGTCTGGGCCGTGCTTTTTTGGTCTGGGTTGCGTCAGTCCAGTGGGCCTGACCCGTTTGGACATATACAAGGCTTGAAATCCAAGGATCGTAATGCCTATAAAAATGGAAAATGAAAGAGCCAGAGTAATGAGAAATTGACTTATCACTGGGCTGACAAGATGAGCGAGATTGATCGAAAGCGTTTTTTCTTTCTTTATAAGTTTTGTTTCACTCTTGTAAGAAACTCGATTTTGAAGACAGGCAAGAGAGTAAAGAATTCTGATTTCTGCATTGAGTTACAAATCAAGAGAGATCGAGTGGTTAATGGGGACGGATTGTAAATTCGTTGATGATACGTCTACGCTGGTACCTTGCATTGAAAACTTTCACATTCTTTTTTTTTATACTTGCTCATAAAACTACTCACCTCCCCCTTCGCTGCATGCTTCCAAAAAACAACAGAGGAATAGCGGAATGACTAGCGTCCGGACGTTCGGAAGGTGGTGCGCGTCCGGACGCCCGTGCCTGCTCCATCCTGGTCTCTTGGATTCACGCACCTGCTCAACAACCCTACATCCAGATCTACTTTGCAACACTCAGATGAAACAAATTGCAACATATGTATGAAACAGATGAAACATTTGGAACATACATTTGCAACATAGCCATTGCAACATATGCAACATCCAGATAAAACACTCGCAACATGCGTCGGAAACAGATGAAACATTTTGAACAAACTCTTGCAACATACGTGTATAATCATTGCAATATGTGCAACATCCAAAAACTACCATTGCAACATCCATATAAAAACATATGAAACATACCTCTGAAACACTTTAAACATGTGTTTTGCAACATAGGGAAGGCCAGTCATTCCAGGCGTCTGGGTGGGAGCCGGCGCCAAGCGGCGGCGCGCGAGCACCACCATTGTCAGCACTTCTAGCCGGGCAGGTGATGGCGCGCGATGGGTGGGAGCAAGATGCGCGTGCGACGGGATGGAGGGAGCGAGGCGGAGTGGGGCGGCAGCAGCGAGCGCGGAGTGGGGCGGCAGTAGTGACGCGCACGTGCAGGTGAGCAGCGGGGGTGGGTCGGTCCGTCCGTCCGGACACCCATGACGTATCATTATAGGAGGAATAATCCCCACGTGAAATCTCCCCTCTGGTTGGAGAGAGCATTATCATGTCAAAAAAAACCCTCTTGCTTGGTTTACTTCCCCAGGATATAATCACTATGAGTTGCCAAACTAGCCCTTAGCGATTGCTTCAGATCTAGCTAGGGTTACGTTGCTTACTTCTACCAAAACAGTGATTTTATCGGCGAAATTGGCCCTAAAATAATAAATCTGATTAGCTCTCAAGGAATCACCGAAGGTAACGACCAATTTAGTATTATTCACGTGTGGCACACTATAAGAAATCTGACACGATGTGTCTGCTCGAGAGCGTGGAAAAGCCTAGCTGGTTACAGGTGTTAATCGACTGGAATGCAACTAACGCCCTGTTCGTTTGGGCTTGTTTGGCTTATAAGCCATGGCTGAAAGTACTGTTGGCTGGTTTGGTGTGAGAGAAAAATATTGTTCGTTGGCTGATAAACTATGGCTTATAAGCCAAATACGACCAAGCGAACAGGTTGTTAGTGGTAGAAATGTCTGATTTCTGAGAATACTAGCCTGAGAAATGGAACTGCTACCATGTTGGTAAGTAGTGTAGCTGGATCTTCTCTTATTGCTACCGTGCAAAGTATGCACCATTTTCCTTTCTTATTATTCCAATCCTTTTTGAATGAGTACAGGGCTGCTCACAATTTATAAGGACAATGTATGTATGAGTAGTTTATCCGTCAACAGTCATGCTGATGGTATTTAATGCCATCTAAAAATAAATATTCTAATCAGCATTATTCTTGGAAGTACCTGACTCCCAGCTGTTCAGGTGGTGTGTTCATTGGTGAGCCAATTAAGCTCAGTTTTGTTTCATTCGTCACCCAACTTGCCAGCCATTTAGTGGTTCCTTCGGATCTAGCTGGGGTTAAAGTTGGGTCCAGTTTAGTTTGCAAAAAAATTTGCAAAATTTTTCACATTCCCCGTCACATCGAATCTTTGGACGCATGCATGAAACATTAAATATAAATAAAAAATAAAACTAATTACACAGTTTAGACGAAATCCACGAGACAAATCTTTTAAGCCTAATTAGACTATGATTGGACACTATTTGCCAAATAACAACGAAAACGCTACCGTACTCATTTTGCAAATTCTTTTGCATGTAAACAAGCCCTTGCTCAGGTTCTAAAAAAAATCGATTCCATCAACGAAATTGGCCCTAAAATAATCAATCTGATTATCTGTCAAGGAACCACCACTAGTCTAGTGTTGTCACGTGTGACACACTATCAGAAATGTGACACGATGTGTCTTGTCGAGAGCATGGAAAAACCCAGCTGATTACAGGTGTTAATCGACTGGCAGGCAACTATGCAAGTGTGCAACTGCTACCATGTTGGTAGTAGCAATGTCTGATAATTCAGATAGAGCAAAAATGAGAAAGCATAGCAGCCCCCTACACGTTTACACGTTGATCACTTGCTATCTTCTTTCCTACAAGAGGAAAATTTACCGGCGGCTTCAAAGTTGGTAAGAGATGTCATAGAGGTACCTCTAGTTTTAAAATGTTAATTCTGGGTCTATGAACTTGGCTTTAGGTGTCATCCCCAAACGGGTCCAATCCCGCTCTGGATGCCGGCGTGGCTCCTACATGTGGGGCTCACATGTCAGTTGGTTATATTTCTGTTTATTTTTATTTTTTTTTGCTGACATGACACGCTAACTATTTCAAAAAATAATTCATCACTTTTCATATGAGCTCAAACTAAGACAAACTTTTTATAAAAATTGTAGCCCTCGACAGCATCTACAACTTTGCAGTTGAAAAGTTTTTTAATTGGAACTGTTTAGAATCCCAAAATATTGTTGTAAGTGCGCAGATTTTGAAATTTGAAATTCAAAATTTTCCAACAATCTCAAATGTTGACATGGTGTATATGAAAGTTATATTTATCAATACAATCTAAAAATTTGTAGTTGAAAAGTTTTTTATTTAAAGTTGTTTAGTGTCCCAAATATGTGTTCTAAGTTTATAGATTTTAAAACAAGAAACTTAAAACACATATTTGGGATACTAAACGAGTTTAAATAAAAAACTTTTCAACTATAAAGTTGTAGATTGTATTGAGAACTTTAACTTTCATATACACCATCTCAAGATTCAAGAGTTTTTGATAATTTTAAATTTTAAATTTCAAAATCTGTAAACTTATAACTGTATTTTAGGACTATAAACAGTTTCAATTCAAAAACTTTTCAACTAGAAAGTTATAGATCCTATCAAGGCCTACAATTTTGATATAAAGATTGTCTTTATCCGAGCTCATATGAAAAAATTATGATTTTTTTTTTAAAAGCCAGCGTGCCACATCAGCAGAATAATAAAAATAAAAAGAAATATAACCAAGTTATTGTGGGCCCCACATATAGGAGCCACGCCAGCGTGCCACGTTAGCATCCAGAGCGGGTTTGGACCCGTTTAGACCTGGATGATACCAAAAGCCATGTTTATGGACTTGAAATTAACATTTTGAAAGTAGAAGGACCTAGATAGCACCTTTGATTTTCCTCTTCCTTCAACTACCAGTGGTGGTACTTGTCAGTGAGCTGCTGCGTCTTGAGCTCCAGCTCTTGGATCTCGACGCCTACTTGGCCTTATCTCGAACCTCACCTGGTATATTGTAACGTGCTCATATAATATAGTGTTATTATCAAATAATAAAAACAAATATCACATTATATGATTCTTGTGTTTGCAAACTTAAATTCTTTCGTCCTGTTCGTTTGGCTTATAAGCCGTACTTTTTCAACCAACGAACAATATTTTTCTCTTACAA